AGAGCGCGAGAGCAGGCGAGCCGGCTGATGCAAACTTTTCTGGGGCTGGGTTGGCGCGCGCGCCTTTTGCCTCTCTCTGAGGACTGGCTCGCTTTCCTTCGCGCAGGAAATTGGAGAGGAAGAAAAGGAAGGAAGCCGTGCCAGCTCACTTAAACAAAACACACGCACGCACCCACACACACGCACGCGCACACACAAAATAAATGGGCAAAAAAAGGTGGCCTTCTGGCCCCGTCCCCATTTGTAATAATTAGTCACCCAAATGAAAAGGAACGGCAGCCTACTTTGACAGGAGTTGGATAAGGAGGCACAAGGTTTTCAGAGGATTCTTTTCTTTTTCATGCAAGTGTGGAAACCGGTACACTCCTGCATTTTGCTTCAGGCGTGAGACTCTTATATTGTGTCTTTCCTTATGCTTTCTTTCTGAGGGGGGAGAAAAGCTGTTTCCCTCCTCCAGATGTGCACTCCTTGGAGATTATAGCGGCCAAAAATGTCTTCAGTTCACTCTCCACAACTTCTGGAGGAAAAGAGAGAGAGGAGTGACGCGGAGGACACCTTGTTCACCAGCTCTTTGTCAGTGGCCGACCCAAGAGCAAAGCCTTTTGGATAGGAAAACAACAGTCAGGGAACAGCAGCATCTTACAGTGGGGTCTCTACTTAAGAACGTCCCTACTTAAGAACAATCCAATTTAAGAACAGCTCCATTTGCTAAATTTTGCTTCTACTTGAGAACAGAAATCCAAGATAAGAACAGGAAAAAAAACTTTCCTGCTCTTTTTTTAACCTTAGGTCATTTTAGGTTAAAAAAAAAAATCTCCCCCTGGTGGTAGAGTACGTATTAACCAGCTTTGTATTAGTTCCTATGGGAACTAATGCTTCAATGTAGGAACACGCCTCTACATAACAAAAAAACAGCCAGAACGGATTAATTGGTTTTCAGTCCATTCCTATGGGAGATTTTGCTTCAACTTAAGAACGTTTCAACTTAAGAACACCATTCCAAAACGGATTAAGTTCTTAAGTAGAGGTTCCACTGTAGTTTCTATGGACGGAAACGGATTAAATGGTTTTCAATGCATTCCTATGGGAAATGCAGATTCAACATAAGAACTTTTCAACTTGAGAACCACCTTCCAATACGGATTAAGTTCTTAAGTAGAGACCCCACTGTACTCTGTTCTGTTAACTGTGACAATTCCTCACCCTTAACAAGAACTATGTTGTAATAGAGTTCCTGTGCAATAGCCTGTATATGGCACTGACTTTCAAGATGGAATACTAGTAAGTGAAATTCCACCCTCCACCATTGTGCAGTAACCAGAAGATGACATGACTGTCTTTGAATAAATGTAGATTGTTGTCCATGAAAAAAAATAAAACATCCCCTGAAAATAACCCCTAATGCATTTTCTGGAGCAAAAATTAATGTAAGACCCTGTCTTATTTTGGGGAAAACATGGTCATTTCTAGGAAGTAGTGTGTTACTTTGTTGTGTCTTATTTTCAGGGAAACACAGTAGAATTGATTCAACTTTAATGTGATACAATACCCTTTTAAAAACCCATTTATACAGAAAAGTTAAAACTATTTAGTATGATGGATCTCACAAAGTCACCACAGGTTAAGAACACACTGAGCAATTTTTACTAGCGGAATAGAAATTATGAAAAAAGTGCAGCACTTGATGAGATGGGATGCATCCTTCCACCAAAGCAACCTACATAGGAAACATGAACTCAATGTGTGTACCAAACTCTGTCTTGGAAGTATTTCCCAGTCTGAGAGTGAAACAGGCCTAGGAAAAATGCTGGGTCTCCATTTTTCAAACTCCTGAGTATGTTATTCTTGGAGACCTGGGTTTGAATTCATTCTCCTGTTGGGTCTTGGGAACTTGTGCCAGCCTCTCTTTAGAACCAAGTTGATGTTGTCCATCTGTTGTGTCTTCAACAGCTTACTGCTTAAGTGTAGGCTAAGGTCGATGTTGCTCTAACTCTTCACCTCGGTCTGCCTGTCTTTACATGCCTGTTTGCATCTCCATTCTTCTGGTTATCCTCGCTGCACTATAATAGACTGCATCCGGCCACAGCTTTGCATATTGGAACCATCTGTGAAAAAACAATTTCAAAATTACAAATACAACAGAAATAGAATTTGTTCATAAATCTGAGGCAGCTCCAGTGCATTTCTACTTCCATTAATTTCCAGTTTACAAATAAATTCCTTCCTTCTCCTTTTCCTCGCTCAGTGTTTGATTTTGTTGGGCTGTGACTGTTCAACCATGACTCTCAGAGCAGTGCTGTGGCTGTTCTGCTCAGCAGTCAACAATTGCTCGGTTGTGTGGTTAAAAAGTGCCTCGTTGCCCGTCTTTTTTCCTGTCTGTTTGGAACACTGCAAGTAAGAAATTCAAATACGGCTGGAAATAGGTGGGCAAAGTTCATGCAGCCCTCCCCAGCATCCCTTAATCCCCCATATGTAGAGAGCATCAACCACCTAACAATTTCTGATGAAATAGGCCCCTTGGGCCTTCTGAGGGGTTCAAGGGTAATATCACTATATTTTTGCCCTCACCAATGTGTTTTAGGCCAGGGCTGGTTTTGTTGAAAACTGGATCACTTCAGGGTTTAAAAATCCTTCATGCCCAACCTAAAACAGGTGTTGGGACTGGAAAGATGATAGGGGAAAGAGAAATTCCTAGTTCTGCTGATACTGGATACCCTTCTGGATTGTGGCCATAAAGTCAAGGGGAAAGAGCAAGGCTGGCAGAAAGAGCAATCAGAGAAGTTTCTGAAGAAGAATAAAAGGGAAAGGAAGGTGATACAGAGGCACAATTTAGATTACTGAATGCCAGTAGAAGTGTGGAAGCCTTCAGCATTTTCTGACATTCACTCAACATTGCTATTGAGAAGTAAAATCAGGAATTTGTTATCAACTATCCAGATGGAGAAAGTCTTGGAAATGCTAAATCATATTTGGTCCAATGAAGTGTCATGTGTTTTATATACACCTGCATAAGATGTCAAAACTCTCATTTTAAGATCTCAGAAGACCTGGGTTCAAATCCTGGTTTGGCTACGGAAACTCAATTCAAGGTGGTAGTGGTGATGTCAAGTCTGGGATTCTGACACCTCAACATCTCCCTAAGCACTCTCAGAACTTTATAGACCTCTAGGGAAAAATTTTAAGCCTTTGTTCATCACAGTTGGTATTTCTCTCAGTTAAGGGTTAATTTGAGAATGAAACCAGACAACCATTTCTAATCATATAAAATCATATAAAAAGCTAATTATATAAAAATCGGAGTATCAGATTATTGTTAGAATTATTTATTTATTTATTTATTTATTGGACTTATATACCGCCCCATAGCGCTACAAGCACTCTCCGGGCGGTTTACAATTTAATTATACAGGCTAAACATTGCCCCCCCAGCAAGCTGGGTACTCATTTTACCGACCTCGGAAGGATGGAAGGCTGAGTCAACCTTGAGCCGGGTACCTGGGATTTGAACGCCAGGTCGTGAGCACAGTTTTAGCTGCAGTACAGCGTTTTAACCACTGCGCCACGAGGCTCATTTTGGTTTATAATTATTGGTTTATAACTGGATATTTATTATGATCCTGCTTCTTTGTTTCATAAGCACAAAAATAAAATCCCAAATATTCAAAAGTTTTACAACTGCAGAAAACATAGACACAAATGCTTTAAAAATTATCTGTACAACTTTTGAAAAGCTATAGGTGCGATTCCCATCCAGTATTCTTGCTGAACTATCCAGCAGTTGGCCTTGTTCAAGTTGTATTGCTGTTGATAGAAAGAAGGTTTGTTTGCTGCATTGTATCTTTACCTGTGAATCTCATGTCTGGACCAGTAGGATCCTTTGACATGCCTCTGGCAATGGAGGATCTGGGGCGAACAATGCAGCTGCTTTTGTGTTCTATTTTGTATTGTATGATGGACACCTAGAATATTTCACAAGCGCAGCATGGTTTAAATGTTACAAAATAAATACATAAAAACAACCGTGGAAGCATTAAATAAAAACGCTTTTATTTTGAAATGAATCAGGACCAGAGACTGCAGTTTCATAAAATAGACCATGATTTATGTTTGGCCCTCAGAGAACTTCTTTGCAAATGATTAGGGGTACTGACATTTAGAATGTAGGGTGAAATGTATGAAGCACTGCCTTAATACTGTACAGGGCTCTCTGTAGCTATCCA